TATACTTTATTCAGCAAGAACACATTAAATTGATCGTATAACAGTTTCCCCAAAACTATTAAGCGGCACAACTGTTTTCTTCATTGATAATAAGAAATGTTTATTGAGCAGCTTATTGCTGCAATATAACAAAGAGTGAAAAATTTAAGGGGGTCTGAATACTTTCCGTACCCACTGTATATCTGTCAAAACCTGCAATAAACCTGTTTGGATTACCTTGTTGCATTCTTCATGTTTTATGACAACTGCTCATACACTTATTTCTGTACAAGTATATGTGAATGTTTTCAAACAGAAATCAGGATTAATAATTTATAAGTTATAATTTTGGCTTTAATTTGATAAAATAATGTGAGAGGAGACAGCAATGGGAGGAAATAAAATTTAGAACCAACTCAAGCCACACACACACAAATCACAGACTCCTGAAGATCTTAACAACAGTACCTTTTAAAAGTTTGGAGCCAGTATGATTTTAAAAATTATATATATATATATATATATACGTATAACAGTTTCCCCAAAACTATTAAGCGGCACAACTGTTTTCTTCATTGATAATAAGAAATGTTTATTGAGCAGCTTATTAGAATGATTTCTGAAGGATCATGTGACACTGAAGACTGGCGTAATGGCTACTGAAAATTCAGCTTTGCATCAGAGAAATAAATTATATTTTAAAATATATTAAAATTTGAAAGTTATTTTGAATTGTCATAGTTTTGTAATAAAAGAGACTTCTTTCAAAAACGTAATCTTAAAACCCCCAGATTTTGAATGGTAGTGTATAAGAATGTTCCCGTATATATTAGAAAACACATGAGTATTTTTTTTTGTTACATTGTGAAAATAATTAAATATGATTGAGCAATTCAGTGACCTTACAATAATGCTGTATTGTAGTTAATTTGGAAAGTCAGATTTTTCAAGCTCTTGGTAAATGCAAAAAATGTACGTGAAGTTCATGAACTTGGTAACTCTTTACCAAGCATTACAAGGACAAAAACAAATTTGCGTGCGCCAAACTTGTTGTGAATCTGGTGGAAATAAAACAAATCTGGTCACCAGCTGAAACAGCTTAGGTGGTCTAGATGGGGTTTTTTTTTTTTTCTTTTTTTTTTCAAGAATTAAAGCATTAAAGATACAAATGTCTTCAAGGCTACTTCCGCTTAACTCCTCCATTGTACTCCATTGAAGCAAAACTAATCTTTTTATTTCTCTCTCTCTCTCCTTCTCTGCTTTAGAAGAGACCGCATTTGAGGCAGGAGTGAGGGTGCAGATCCACAGTCAGGCAGAGCCTCCCTTTGTACATGAGCTGGGCTTCGGAGTCGCCCCAGGCTTTCAGACCTTCGTGGCTACCCAGGAGCAAAGAGTGAGTGAGCTTTGACCTCATAGGTTTGTCCTCAGCCTAAATATTTTGGTCTCTCAAGCCCTATTCACACCTGTTATTAACGTGCATCTAAGTTGAACCTATATTACAAGAGTTCAGTAAAAGCAGTGCTCAAATCACATTCGATACTCAGAAACAGATGCCACCACATCTCATTGGTAGTGTAAATACTAATGCATCCTGACATATCAGCAAAGGACTGCTGACACACCGCCAAAACCAGATCGCCCAGGTTAGTAAATGGGGCCTTTTTAATCCATACCCATGTGTTCACGCTCCTCATTGCTCCACGTTTCTATTCTGTTTCATGTATAATGTTAATATTTCGTCAACCTCCTCAGGGTGTTCAATCTTAAAGGACCATCGCATGGTTTGTGTGTCCGTGTGTTTGTGAGACAGGTGTCTACGCATACCAATTATTTTTTGAAGCTCTTTCACTATGCTCACTATGATACCTTATTTTTAGTTTTTCTTTTGGTATTTTGCTCTCCACTTTGTTTTACTTTGTTGTTGTTGTCCTGATGCTGTGAGGCTTTAATATCTCTAGCAGTGACCTTGCTGGCAATCTGACTGGTCTTTGTTTGTAATCAGTCTCACTGAGTCTCACCACAGTGAGCAGAAAACAAGCCTAGCATCGTGTTTTTGTGAGAAAAGAGTGATTTCCATGTTTAATAATTAGTTTGGTGCTAATTCAAAAAGTTTCACAAATATTTTGTTTTTGTGAAGAGTCATCTGAATGGTGTATCATTCAGTCACTCATATGAGACTGTACTCACTCATATGAGACTGTACTGTACTCCATAATAGTTTTCTATAAAAAGCATTTTAAGTGTGTATGGTCCCCCCCAATGTACATTATTTTGCCATGTTGAAATGTTGCAAACTGCGGTGTTTCATTAAGCATCAAATAGAATTCTCATGCTCATTGGCTGCCAGTAGTGTAGTTTGGTGAAGCGAATAGAGAAAATTAGACAATTAGCTATACACACACTTATCGTGCTTTACCAGCTGAGACAACATGAGAATCAGTACTTGTAGGGCTGAAGAAGCAGAGAAGGTCTGAAGCCAGAGGATGGAAATATTGACAAAGACAAAACATGAGCATAACATTGGTACGTTTTTTTTTTTTTTTTTTTTTTTTTTTGGACAGGTAAGGGACTACAAGTTTATTTGCCGCTTCCTTGTTGTTTATTGCACTCACGGTTGATTACTGGTTTTGTTTGATTATGCTAATTATGTTTAGGTGGCTGTTAAACTGAAATACAGGCTAATGACTAGTAACCTCAGCCCTCTGTAGTTGTGGTGTGTAATTACGTTTATGAACATTAGGACTGTTTGGCAAGCCTTCGGTGGTGTGCATTTTATTCCTAGTCATAGCAGCCCAATAATATTCTAAAATCACTGGCATAAATGGTAATAAACAACCTTGTTCATCTTTTCTTTTCTTTGTTTTTTTTTTTTTTTAGTCAAATGCATCAGTCTGGTCATGGCAATCCCTATAGTTTAAAGCTGTTGTGGATGATGCATATGCATCTGTGGTGTTTGTCAGAGTGTCTGCAGCCTTCACCCTCCCTGCTGTTATCTGAGAGTGCAAGGGTGGTGTTCACTTATCTGCTGTAATGTACAGGTTAGGGAGGGTATCAACATCTCTGCCTGGGCTTCTGTTATCTGTCAGGGTCTCCTGCTTTCTTACCTTATGTTATCTTCTCTCTCTCTCTCTCTCTCTTTCTCTCTCGTGCGCATGCGTGAGTGTTTGTTGAGTGAGTCTGGAGAGTGCGTGTGGTGGTGAGCTTGAGTTGCATTGAGCGTGAGTGCAATTTTGTGCTTTTCCTTTTCCATCTTTTTTTCTTCTCTGTGTTTAGCTTAGTTTTGTTTGTTTGTTTAGTGTTAAGGATAGTTTTGTTGGTGTGTTGATCCGGGCCGCGTGCTACCTGTATTCGGTGAAGCATGGCGGCCCCGGTTTCAGGGGTTTTGAGTACACTCACGCGGCGTCATGCAGTGAAGGTGGCGTCTGCGGTGAGCGTGGAGAAGTGTTGTATGGCTATAGGAGAAGCTGTGGGCCATGAGTGCATTTTGTCGGCATCAAAAATTAATAATGCAAATGTCATATTTCTAAAAACAGTAGACAAAGCTAATGAGTTAGTCGAGCAGGGGATTACTATTGATGGTTTATTTACACCTGTTCTCCCTCTGTCAATTTTGTATAAGCCACCGTTAACAAAGCGAGTAGGGGACATACAGTGGAGGGTTCTCCATGGAGCAATTGCTGTCAATGCTTTTATTTCTGTTTTAAATCCTGAAGTAAGCTCTGAATGCCCTTTTTGTTTTAATAGAGAAACTGTCTTTCATGCTTTTATGGCGTGTTCTAGACTAAAGTCCTTATTTTCTGTATTAGGAAATATTTTTGACTGTTTTAATGAAATATTTTCCAAGGAAACGTTTATTTTGGGTATCAAGTATGTGCAGAAGAGACGTGTTGATTGTCAGTTACTGAATTTTATTTTGGGTCAAGCTAAGCTGGCCATTTACTCAAGTAGGAAAAATAGGATCGAACAGAAACCTGGACAAAATGTTACTGTCTTGTTTTCAACTCTTGTAAAGTCTAGAGTGCTGATTGATTTTAATTTCTACAAGTCTATGGATGATCTTATGTCTTTTGAACTAAAATGGTGTAGCAAAGCAGTTTTGTGTTCCGTGTTTGAAGATGAGTTAATTTTCACAAATTTCCTGTAATTTTCTATTTTTCTATGTGATGATTTATATTTTGTAAACTGTTTTTGTGAATTTGTAATAAAGAGCATTTAAATTCAATTCTCTCTCTCTGTGTGTGTGTGTGTGTGTGTGTGTGTGTGTGTGTGTGTGTGTGTGTGTGTGTGTGTGTGCACCTCTGTGCCTTCAGTAATTCCAAATGGACCTTTTGTTATGGAAGATATGTTTGGGACAGGAAAGCAAAAGTCTTTGATAATTTTGATAATGTTTTATTCAATAAGAATAAAACAGAAATTGTTGTTTTTGGACCCTCGGATTCTTTGACTGCTCCCAATCCAAACCTTGGTGGGTTGTCTTCATGTGTTAAGCAATGTGTGAAAAATCTGGGTGTTGTATTTGATGAACATCTGAAGTTTGAAATCATCCTTGTTTCAATTGCAACTCCTGTCTATAATTAAGACTTTTCTTTCTTTTAAAAACTTTGAGAAAGTGATTCATGCTTTTATTACTTCTAAACTTGACTACTGTAATTCACTTTATGCTGGGATTAGTCAAACAGCTTTGTCCCGATTACAATTGGTTCAAAATGCGGCAGCTAGACTTCTGACGGGGGTTCATAAGCGGGACCATATTACTCCGGTTTTACGGTCCTCACACTGGCTGCCTGTGCGTTACAGAGTAGATTTTAAAATTGTACTTATTGTTTATAAATCCCTAAATGGTATGGCTCTATTATACATCTCTGATTTATTGAGTGAGCATTATGTAACCAGATCTCTCTGGTCTTCTAACCAGAGACTCTGGTCTATCCCCAAGACGAGGTGGAAGTGCAGGGGAGACCATGCTTTCTCTACAATTGCCCCAAGACTCTGGAATGACTTGCCCATTTCTGTTAGAATGGCTTCTTCTGTGTCTACTTTTAAGTCTAATTTAAAAACCTATCTGTTCGATAAGGCTTTTAATTCTGGTTGAAGCACTCTTGTCCTTGTTTTATGTGTTCAGATTTCTCTTCTAGAAATGTATGCAAATTAGTGCATATTTAATTAAACAATGCATCATTTTCATGTTTAGATGTAACATTTCAGAAATCCTGTAATACAAATCAATTGTTTTAATGTACTGTTATTAATAAAATGAGGAATTATGGTGGTATCTTTTTTTTTTTTTAAATACACCAGTGGCGTCTTGCCTTAAAATTGTGTAGACATCCTACTCTTTGCAGTTAACAAGTCTGAAGTCTGTACATTATTACAATTGGTTGATATCTTTGGATAGGAAAAGTATCATTGGCCCTGTCATAATAACATGTGTAGAATAATGGATAGAGATAACATGTTTCTGTTGTGTGGAGCCACTGTCCATGATTAAATCAAGTTTAGCCAAAGAGTTCTAATAACATACTATCAAGCTAAATATAACTTTTCTTTACACACATAATGTTAGATGTATTGACTACATCCCTAGCACACCCATTGCAGTTGCTTTTTTATTAAAGCAACTTGAACGCACGTTCAAACATCGAATTGAGCCAGTCAGTTTAACATGATGCAATCATGTTTGAACGAGAAACCTGATACAATGGTGTTAAATAAAAATGAATTGTTTAAAGAAAATATTTTTAAAACTTTTCACTTGTTGTCCATGGAAATCTTATACACTACTAGCTTCATGTCTCTTGTTACACTCCTCTTGTTATCTCTGTTTCTTCTCACTTGATAAAATAATTTGAAGTCAAATCAAATTTTCGTGTAGAACAGGTAGCATTATCCCTTTGTGTGTGTGTGTGTGTGTGTGTGTGTGTGTGTGCACCTCTGTGCCTTCAGTAATTCCAAATGGACCTTTTGTTATGGAAGATATGTTTGGGACAGGAAAGCAAAAGTCTTTGATAATTTTGATAATGTTTTATTCAATAAGAATAAAACAGAAATTGTTGTTTTTGGACCCTCGGATTCTTTGACTGCTCCCAATCCAAACCTTGGTGGGTTGTCTTCATGTGTTAAGCAATGTGTGAAAAATCTGGGTGTTGTATTTGATGAACATCTGAAGTTTGAAATCATCCTTGTTTCAATTGCAACTCCTGTCTATAATTAAGACTTTTCTTTCTTTTAAAAACTTTGAGAAAGTGATTCATGCTTTTATTACTTCTAAACTTGACTACTGTAATTCACTTTATGCTGGGATTAGTCAAACAGCTTTGTCCCGATTACAATTGGTTCAAAATGCGGCAGCTAGACTTCTGACGGGGGTTCATAAGCGGGACCATATTACTCCGG